TTTAAACTAGACAAACAAAATTTCATGTCAAACAATAATTTTCAGAAAATCACGACTAAATGAGAGGACATATTTCCATTGGCCCAGTTTAGATGAAAATAACATCTGTACTGCACGGTATCCTTTTCTGTGATTAATCCCATGGGACATCTCAATGTGAAGCAGATTATGGGAAAACAGTCTAATGAAAGTAGTTTTGCAACTTTAAAAACACAACCGTTCCCAGGACGCTGTGCTTTGCTGTTCAGAGTGAAGGGAAAGGAGACAAGTGCGGGATGCTTGAGGGCTGGACCTCCACCCCGCATCAGCACCTCCTCACGTGCTATGCATTACTGCCACGCAATGCCAGAGCTATAGGTTTGGGGGATTGGTGGTGGTGGTGCTACCACCCTTACTTTGGTAGAGCCATGCAAGGATGTGTCTACAGCCCAGGCTGCAAATGGGAATAACTTGCCATTGGCCATTTCCATCAGTAAGAAAAGTTTTGTGCTTCTTTTCTTACTGTGCATAACAGTTTTCTCTGCCAACAGCTTCATTGATCATGGTATAAACGAAGGTAGAGAGCTGACATTTGCTGTCCTCTCTGCAGAGAGAGGAATGCTGGCTCTGCAACCTCAGGAACGAAGGGGAAAAAAATTGAAATCGCCTTGTTCCCCTTCTGCAGAGCAGTCATTAACCTCACTAACAGGGAAGGAGGTAGCTTTTTCAAACCCCATGCCTGGGGGATTGCACATGCAACTGCTTTTAATGTCAGCATTGATGTTTCTCAGTAAGTATGTACCCTCCTGAAAATGCAACCCAAGCGAGCAGAGGTTCTGACTGTGCATCCCAAGGGGATGAAGGAGAACAGGGGTTACAAAATAAAGGCCAAAACCAGCCCTGTTTATGATAAAGGAATATCTACATGTTTTCATCTGTAAATGTGAATTTCAAGGAATAAATACAAATATATCATTTAACATGAAGAATAAAAGGCTCTTCGCCAATGTTTTAATGTTATGCCTTAATAGAATGATCCTTTCCAGAGCCAGTCATGACTTTAATCCAGATCATGCCTAAAAACATTAAGAGAAGGGTCACCACAGCAACAATCACATTGCTCCCCTTCTGCAGAGGGAATGGAAAAACACTCAAACTTTGCCAGCCTCCATAAATTATCCAGATTATCAGAACTGTAAGGAAAGCTGTATGTAATCAGCTCTGTGTGTGTGCTGGTGAGCGTACACATATGTTAAATGGATTGCAGCCTGTTAAGTACATATGTCAAAGGGGATAGCTCTGAAAATATGTTCAAGAGAAAAAAAAATGCCATGTCTGTGCCTTAATAGGCCAGCAGATAGCATGCGCAGCGTGGTGCTCACTGCAGTGCTGGGGGACTCCAGTCCAGCTGCTGGGCTGGGCTCCCCTGACTGTGGTGGCTGGGAGATGGGGTGGAGGACACCAGTGCTCTCTTGGTCTTGCTTCAGTGTGAACCTGGGAAATGGTTAGTTTGCTCTCACTGATTTGGGAGTGCAGACGCGCTCTTGCTCCAGTCTGGCAGTTGTTTTTATGTATCGGGTATGGTTTGCTTTGCCAAAGAAAATTGTCTCATTAGCCAGGGAGGGAAGAACGAGGATGGAAGGGTGGGTGGCAGGAGCAATATTGAAGTGGCTTGACTTTAACTACCTTGTGCAGGAGTCTGCACTGGAAGACTCCTCTCACCAGGCTGCCTGTATGGTCAGTGGAGGGAGGCTGGCTGTTTTAGAAGCAGCCCAAGGAAAGGATATGACTTAGGATAGTGGTAGTGATGTCAAGATCTTTGGCAAATTGAGGATGCATGAAAGACTCCAAAATCACATGAAGGAAGCCCAAAGGCACGTGGCTTTCTAGCATAGGAAGACAAGGTTACATCTGGAGTGCAAATGCTGTGTGTTTCCATCCCTGTTTCTTCTGCTATCAGGAAAAGCACTTGTTTAGCTGGTTGTTGGTCCCGTACTAAACCTTGGATTGTCAGCCAGCCAGCGGGCTGCCATCATTTTCTGGCCTGGGTTCCTAGCTAGAAACATCCCTCAGCTTTTCTGGGATCACACATTTTAAATAAATGGTGTGGATTGGTCTGTGTCTTTAGCCTTTTATAGTTTTCAAGCTCATAGATGTTTTGCAAAGGAGGTGCATGCTCCTGCTAAACAAATTTAAGCCTACTGATAACAGACTTGCTTTTCTTTATTTTCTTTCATGCAGGCCAGTGCAGACTTGGGCTTGGCTAGATGAGCTAAGTAATGCCAGCTGTATCCTGGCCCCATTTGGAGTATCTACCGAAGGATGGGTCCAGTATATGCTGTAACGTTGATGCAGACTGAATTCCAGTAATCACCTGTACCTGATGGTAACATGGCTGGAAGATCTTTAAGGCAGCTGCTGTCAGAAGTGTATGGGGCTTTCTCCTGACTGGCAGTACATGCTCTTCAGGGCCCTCAGGGTTACAGGACCCCAGAGGGGTGCATGAGCAAGCAAAAGGTTTAAGTTTGATCACGGCCGCAGAGCCTTTCTGGTTTTCACTGCCACTACCTCCAGCTTGTTGTAAAGAATAGTTTATGGCAAAGGTGGTTACTCTGCAATGTTCTGTTTTTCATTTTTTAAAGTGCAAATTTTAAAGTTTGCCTGCCAATTCATTTCAAGAACCCTATGGACCCATTCCCCCCTTGCTCTCTTTTCTGTCCTTTGCTATCTGCCACCTTGCCGTGCCCACTGTGGCTCCGGGGCTGGGAGGCCGCTTCACTTCTGAGGCCTGCCCCCAGTG